CATTCAAAAGAACCAAAAGATGAAGACAGTCTAAGTGGCCATCTGGATGAACAAGGTGTGATTTATCCTCAAAGTGGAATATTATCAGACAATGATCATGGAGTATCTCAGCCTTAGGAGAGAAGTGTGTAATAATATTACCAGCCCATTTTACAGCTGAGGAAACTGAAGCACAGGGGCCTAGCTAACTTGCCTGGAGCAGTGATGCTGGAACTGCAAGAGCCAGGAGCAGCCTTGGGGCCAGCTGACTTGAGACTAGCTTTTGTAGCTCTCTTCCTTTTGGCCACCACATAAAGCTGCCTCAAATAGACTTGCAGTAACCAAAGCTATCAACCCTGTTTGGAGCCTAGAATGCCATCTTTGTTAGTCAGATGAAACTGTTCCCAGCTAGACAATGGAAATTGAGAACCCCCGTTCCTCAGTAAGAAAGTCTACTGGGAAAACTAAATTTAATGCAGCAATTGTGCTTTTTAAAAATGCAAACCAGACACCCGAGGAAACAGCTGATTTAATGGTTTACTTTAAATTAATGTATGTTTGAAGTTTACCTCTGTCCCACCATAGGCATTGCAATTTTTGTCTCAAAAACCAGAGCTATTGTTAGAAGTATATGGCTCCAGCAGTCAGTTCTGGATTAATCTAAACTCTGCTGCCACTAGCACAATGTCCTCAAGTCTCATCCATATGGAGCACCTGTCATTTCCTTTTTAAGGCTGAGTACTGTTCCATTGCATGGATACAGTCTCTGCTTTATTCCTGGAAATAGCGCTGAGAAATGCATCATTAGTAATTTTGTTGAGTCATACAGAGTGTAATCACACACTGTAGCTGGAACAGCCCTCTGTACCGAGGCTGGGGGTGCAGCCTTTGGAACCACATCAGGTAGGAGGTTCACACGGACTAAAATGATTTTGTTTTTTCCTTGAAGATTTTATTTATTTAGTTTTGCAAAGGAAATGGGGTGCAGGCCAGAGGTGTGGGGCAGTTGGGGGGGCGGGGTGACAGGATTCCTCAGAGACAGAATGGGGAACAGAACAGGCAGATTGATTGAAGTGCACTGCTGAAGGGAGCAGTGAGTGAGACAGCAGAGGTCTGCTGCACCATGTGGGTCAGCTCCCTGGCTGGGGATCAAACTCAGGCTGCATGGCCTGCCACTGAGACACCCTCTAGGCCACCAGGGAGGCCCCATTGGCTTAAATGTTAAGCATCACATAGTCTACACCACATTCTGTTTATCTTTACACCCTTTGATGGACAGGGGTTGTTTTTGCCTTATTTTAGTCTTCAAGAGGGAAATGATGTGATCTTACCCAGAATACTGAGGATGCTCAGAGAGGGGGGATATTGGGAGGGCCCCAACATCTCTGATGGAGGTTAATGGGACACGAGCAGTCTGGGTGGAGAAATGCATCAGAGTGAGAGCATCGTCTGACTTTGGTGACACCTTAGAATGGTCATGGGGTGGGACGGAAGCTGGCCGAGTCCACGGTCTTGGGTTGGGAAGATAGAGATGCCCTTAACTGAGGTGAAGAATACGAAGGAAAGAGATGGACCAGAGTGGGTAGGGAGAGAGGGAATGCTCCTCCCTTCTTCCCAGCATCCAGGAAGAGCTTTGGAGTCCTTAGGTAGTGGGTGGATTCAGGAAAATCATGCTGGAGTTTGCTCTTGTGATTCTGAAGTGTCTTTGAGACATCCAGGTAGAAAGGCTGGGGAACAGGTGTGATTGCAGAGTGAGCTGGCCCTATAATTATAAAAGGGACCAAAACACAGCTGAAGAGAAATGTCCTCTCCCTTCCTCACCGCCGCTCTCTGCACTCCTGCAGGCTCTTACGCCACTGGAAGAACCGCTCCCATCCGTTAGCAGGACGCAGAGTGCCCTCTCGTGGCACTGTCATGAAACGGCAACAGAGCCCACACCCAAAGACAGAAAGAACCTCTGCGTCCTGAAAGCAGCAGTTTTCCCATTAGCTTAAGAAGAAAATATGACACAGCCCCAACGTGTTCTAACATCCTGCACAGAAGGATTGGGTGAGCCCAGAGAAGACCCCAGAGAAGCCACTGCTCCCACGCAGGGGCCTGTGTCTAGGTTGCCCCTGGGGACAGCACAGTGGAAATGGCTCTTGGACAGAGGACTGTGAAGACAAGGTTACGGGACACAGTATGTGGGTGTCGTGCACAAGACTCCTTTCAAGTGAGACAAGAGCAGGACGTTTGGTGGCCCTGGGGCAACAGGTCTACATCTCAGATATGATGGGCAGTGAGGGGAGGGCAGGACTCATCTGTGGAATGCCTTGTTAATAAGGTTGGGGCCATGGGTGAGGGTTGGGGAAATCAGCAGACTCACCCTTCCTAAAGCCCAGCATCCAGCGTGCAGTCTGACCCCTTCTCTGTTAACACAAAGGCCAGGCTCTTGCTCTTGAGCGGCCTGCTGCATCCTCCAGCCTGCTCCACGACTCCTGTTTCTTTCATCACTGCGGAGTTGCTGAAGCAACAGTAGTGGAGGGAGAACAGGGTGCATACTGAAATTATTTTGGGGTCACCTGCGTGCTGCCACACTTCCTTTCAACCATGAATGGACAGGCAAACTTCCCCAGTTAGACAAATGTGGTTTAAAGAAATAGTCTGTGTGGACGGTCACAAAGTAGAAAACATTTTGTCTCGAGCTTGTCTTCTTTGGATTGGCTCTACCTCCATTTAAGGAAAGGCCATTCCAAACGCCTAAGTATTCATTTCAGTACAAAACGCAGGGACCACAGCAGAACCTCCCTGATGGCACGCTGTATTTAATTAGGGTTCAGACTTGGCATCTGCGAATGAGAAAGAGGGACTTCAGCCAGACAGAGGCTTATGTCTCTCATTTGGAGAGTCTGGGTTTAGGCAGTGCGGGTTGTTGGGTTGGTGCCAAATTCCTCTCCCGTGGCCCCCAAGTCTCTCTTTTCTATGTGGGGTGGGAGCTCAGTCCAGTCCAGTCTAAGGCTTGGTCTTGTGCACTTTAGTTTCTCTGTTGAGCTCACATTTTCCTCCTATTACATGTTGTCCTTCATTTATTCACAGGATAATATTATTTTGAAGTATCAATCACTGTGTTTTTTCCTCTTGACTATTTGGATTTTCTTCTCTGTGGTCCTCTCACAGATCATACAGGAATTTATTATTATTATTATTATTATTGGCACCATGTGGATTTCAGATAGACTAAAGAAGTTGTTTCTCAGCTTTGAGTTTCAAATTGGATCAAAGGGTCAAAAAAAGCCTTCAAATTTAGGCTTTCAAGAATGATAGGTAAGTTGGCTCAGAATTCTTTTTTTTTTAAGATTTTATTTATTTATGCATATAAGAACTGGGGTACAGGCCAGAGGTGCAGGGGCAGGGGAGTAAGAAGAATCACCAGGGACATGGTGGGGAGCTGAACAGGCAGATGGACTGAAATACACTGCTGAGGGGAGCAGCAGGTGGGACAGGAGAGGTCTGCTGTGTCACGTGGGCCAGCTCCCTGGCTGGGGATCAAACTCGTGGCTGTGGACAGCTTCATAGTGTTGCACTTTAACCCCTTGTGCCACCAGGAAGAGATCAGAATTCTAACGACTGGGAATGATTTTCTTAACTAAGGAATTTGGCTTGCAAGGTTGACTCTGGAAAATTCCAGAATGGGATGAAGGAAGGCTCTGTCTCACAGAAAGAAAAGACAGGGCAGCTGAGACTTAAGACAAGGATCACGTGTGATAGTTCTGCTCTGTCTTTGGGATTCAAACCTGCAGAAGGTGATAGATGAGTCAGGATGAAAAAACACACTCAAGGGAATGTGGGGTGATCTAAGATGATCAGGGCCTGCATCTGCCTCCCAGTGTGTTCTGCAGAGGACCCCTCTGACGAACCATGGCCTGTGGGCCCAAGTCCTTCATCCCAAGGTGGGAAAGCTCAATTAGCTGGAATGGAGGGTGCTGGGGAAACTGAGGCACAGAAGAGGCTTGGACTTGCATTAAGGGCACTGCAGGGTTCTATGACCTCACAGCCAGGGGGTGCCGGTGGAGGGGCTGAACTGTGTCCTGTCCAGCCCACCATGCTGCAGTGGGTGCCCCAGGTCAAGAGGTAGTAAGTAAACATTGCTTCGAGTAGATGTCAAGCTGAAGAATCAAGTGTTGGGGGTGGGGGTCAGGAGGAATGATATAAACTTCACATTTCTATAGCATTTTGTAGTTTGAAAATGTTTTCTGTATGTTACTGGGTCCCAGCTGCTTCAGCAGTGGGTGTTGGCAGGAGCAATGGTTCTTACAACCCACCGAGGAGGGAGAGAAGCCGGAGGACATGATCGGAGACTGGGCCTCGGTCCTGTCTCTGCAGTACCTTAAAGGAGACCCAGGCCCGGTGTCTAAGCGCTGCTTGTTGGTGTCACCCAGCAATTCACAAAGAGCTGTTAGCACTGGGTGTCTCTGCCTTGCCTCTGAGGGACCCGCAGCGACCATCACTACTGGCCAGTGCTGCCCAGCACTCCTGGTGCCCGGTGGTGACCATCACTGACACAATCTGGGTGAGGCAGCCGCCACGTGTGGTTACAGTGAGCTCTTGGTTTCCCTTGTTTGTAAAATAACCCCCTGGTTGTTCCTGGAGCAAGGGGTCTCTTGCTTCTGTGTGCTCAGGTAAGACCCACAGACAGTGACCTGTGCTCTTACAGGGCACTGTCCTTGGGTTTTGGTTTTTGGCCTTTGGGGGCTTTTTGGTGGCTCTCTGGTTTCAGAGCCTGGGCAGGCAGGTGGCCTTTTCATCTGTCACCCATCCTGCCTTGTTGCCTTTTTGAGGTCCTCCCGCCCTGCGTCATACGCTGTGTGCTAGAAGAGGTAATCGTTTGCTTTTACAGGTTAGATAAAAAGGTGCTACCAGACAATGAGAGCTCCATCCTCAGCAGTCAAGTCATTTTTAAGAAGACTTATTTTGTTTATTCATGCATACAAGAGCTGGGGTGCAGGCCAGAGGTGTGGGGGACCCAGAGACAGAGCAGCGGGTGAGGCAGGAGAAGTGTGCAGTGGCTGCCATCAGCTTCACAGTGCTGAGACTACCCCTCCCCCGCAGCCAGGGAAGCCCTTGGTAAGTGATTAGCCAGACATACAGCAGACACAGAGAGGGAAACTTCATCAGGTCAATCTGAGGCGAGAGAGGGTTGTACCCCGATGACATTAGTGGAGATTTCCTGAGTTCGTCTCTTTCCTGGCCCGGAGGAAGGGGGACTACTGCGGCTGGGTCTCCATGTCCCATCCAGCCCCTGCTCCCCGCCTCTCGTCCCACAGCACGGCAAGAGGCTGGGCCAGGCTGATGTGCTCCACATGGCAGGTGTGGGGGGCTGTGTCCTGTGGGGGGACTCCCACCACCACCCAGGACTGGTAAGTGCCATTTCCACTGGGAAGAACCAGTTCCCCCGACTTGCTCTCCTGCATGGCACCATCCTGAGTCCAGTGCAGACGGATCTCTCGTGGGTAGAAGTCATAGGCCAGGCACTTGAGGGTCCTCGTGCTTCCTGGGGCCGTGTGACTGCTGAGGGACACTGCGGGGGCATCTGTGGAGGGACCGTGCATGGCTATGGAAGCCTGAGGCAGCCTCTCGCCACCCTCCTTTCCCCTTCCTGTCCCCATGCCCCAGATGTCTAGCCAGGACAGGGCCCTGCGTTCTCTATCTGCCTTCCCAGGGCAACTACCAAGATCAAGGAAGGCTGAAGCTTCCCCTGAGTTGTATCGTGGTTACTTTCTTGCCTCCTTCCCGCCATGTCTATACAGACTTCTAATAGCAAGAAGTGTGAATGCCCCAAAACATTTTTCTCTCACCCCTTGACCCCTGCAACCTTGGAGAGGGCACCCTACCTTCGCTCTGCCACCCCTAGTTCTGTCTGTGTCTGTCCATCAGTGCTCCCTGCCACACTGCCCTCTTTCTCCTTAGTCCTCAAAGCAAAAGCTCAGCGGGTGGCCAGCAGCTCTGCCTCACTTGCTCATCCGCATCCTCCCAGGAGAGTGCACACTGCCTCTCTCCTCTGCCAGCCAGGAGGCACCACGAGAGAGAAACCATCGCAGGCTTGCCTGAGCTCCCCGCCCGAGATCCTGGGCCTCTCTCCGCTCATTTGGAGGGGTGGGGAGAGGACAGTGGAAGCTGTGGACAGGGGGTACCTCTTCGGTCCAGATACTTCTGTCCGTGCTGCAGGTACCGCTGCAGCATCCCGGGACACTCCTCTTCCAGGTAGGCCTTGGCCCGCTGCACATAGACTGCTTCTCTCTCCCACGTCTGCTTCACGTTCTGAGCTGCGGGGTCCAAGGGGACCCAGGCTGGGATTTCTTTGTTGAACTCGATGAAGTCCTGTCCGTCATAGGCGTACCTCCAGAAGGCTCCACTGCTTCTGTCACTCCGGAGCTCACAACCAAACACTCCCTGGAAGGTGTGAGACCCTGCGTCCCCCCCAACCCCATGGAGTCAGTGAGCTTTGCTTCAACTCTGTCTCACTCGACAGGTGACGGCCCATAGGAAGAGAGGTTTATGAAATCGAAGCCCACATCGTTATCTCGGTAAGTGGCTTATTTTAAAGATTTATTTTGTTTATTTGCGCATTTAAGAACTGGGTGTAGATCAGAGCTATGGGGGGGGGGGGTAGAGGATTCCCCAGAGGCAGAGTGGGAAGCAGAACAGGCAGATCAACTGAAATACACTTCTGAGGGGAGCAGCAGGTGAGACAGGAGAGGTCTGCGTGGCTGCCATTAGCTTCGCAGTGCTGAAACTACCCCTCCCCCCCAACCAGGGAAGCCCTTGGTAAGTGATTAGCCAGACATACAGCAGACACAGAGAGGAAAACTTCATACGGCTTGGTGTGTTAGGTCAGTCTGAGAGGGTTCTTCCCAGCCCAACCATTTCAAAACACTGCAGGCGTGGGCAGGCCCCAGTCCGTCTGCCCCATCTCATTAAGGGGCTCCATTTGATGACTATACTGAGTTTTGGGTAACTTATGTGACCACACTGATGTGCATTTACAAGTTAAACAGAAATTATTATTAGATTATGAGCCCTGCACTTTCTTTTTGAATTTTCTAGTGTTCCTCACCCACTTGCACCCGCAAGTCTGCTCCTTATGGACAAGAGGGCCTTTATGATTCTATTGTCACTCTGTCTATAGTTCTTTTTTTTTTTTAAAGATTTTGAAAATTTATTTATGCACAAAGAACTGGGGTGCAGGCCAGAGGTGTAGGGATGGTGAGAGGATTCACCAGAGACAGAGCGGGAAGCAGAACAGGCCGACTGACAAAGTGCACTGCTGAGGGGAGCAGTGGGCGGGTCAGGAGAGGTCTGTTGGGCCATGTGGGTCTCCTCCAGGGCGGGGATCGAACTCATGCGAAAGTGGCTTTAGCTTCTTAGTGCTATGCTTTAACCTGCTGCACCACCAGGGAGGGCCTGTCTATAGTTTTAAACTGGGCCTGTCTATAGTTTTTAACTGTTCTTCCTGACTCTTAGAATCGGCCATGCTTTGGACCAGGTACTTTCTCTTGTCCAACAAAATTCACTTGAGTCAGTCTTGTTGATGTGGCTCCAGGGAAGAGGAAGCCAGACTGAGTTCTAGCTTTCATAGAATCTTGGGTGTAAGTCTCAGTGCTCCAGGTGTTGCAGGTTCAGGCCAGATAACTAAGAAGGGTGCTCTCTGTGACACAGTGATGGGTGGCCTGACCCCAAGAGTGGTCCAGCACTTGGGCAGGGTGGTGCAATGCCTTCTAAAGTGAGCTCCGCCTCAGGTGGGTGGGGGTGTGGAGCTTAGAGGTCAGATGTGCCTGGGTTAGAGTGGACTCTGACATCACTTCCTGTGTGAGTGAGGCTTGGGAGTGAGGGCAAGGGCTGTGATGGGGAGGGAGGAAGGTGGGTGTGTTGTGGGGTGGGGAGAACAGAAATGTCTCTGTATTTCTATTTATACTTGCTTGTCTAGGGATGATTTGACAGGGATGGCTTCCTTCCTACTCACCTCTCTCCCCTCACAATTGCTGGGCTGGCTCTTGAGCGAGACCCTTCACCCCAGCAGTCCACGGGCTACTGACCTTTTCCATCCTTGTAATAGTCCATGATGTTCTTCAGGGTCTCCATGAAGATGTCCTCCCTGGCCTTTTGAAGTTGGCTTTCCTTCTCCCAGTCCTCCATTCCTTCCACCTGGCCCCATGGGTCCAAGGGCTCAGCCTTCCTGCTGACGCTGTCATAGCGGAAGAAGGGCTGGTCGTTGAGGTAGGCAATTGCCTGAAAGCTGGGGAAACCCACACTGGGTTTGGACAGCCCAGTGTAGAGAAAACTCAGAGAATAATGTCCTGCAAAAGAAGGGAAGACTTTGAGATGTGGGCCTATGCTGGAGGTTCCAGGTAGGCAGCAGAGCCAGGAAAAGAGGTCTGGGCCTCTCCTTCCCCGGCTCTCACCCAGCTGTCAAGTAGACTGTACTTGGCTTCCTTGTAGGTATTTTGGGACCATGTTGAGTTCGGTAAGAAGGGATTGTGACTGGACGTGTTGTCTTTTTTGCCCTCTGATTTGGTCCTCTCTGTTTCTTTTTCTTTTAGGTGATGACAGTGGAGGCCGCAGGATGAAACAAGAGTCCCAGGATGCAAAGAGTCTCGATCTCTGAGGCCCCTCTGGAAGGAAGGGACACTGCCTAATCTGTATTCAACTTTACATGAGCAATAAATGTTTGTTGGTTAAGTCACTAAAAATTTTTTCGTTACTGGAATATAACCCAATATTATTCAACAAATACATATAATATGTGTTAGAATATGTAGGAAGGAAAATTTACTAGAAAATTCCAGAAATGACATCGATGGATTGTTGCAAGGAAACATGAGTATAGATCTCAGATTTTCTAGGTTTGTAACTTACATTTTGGTATGAGTTAGGGACAGAGAGGAGAATAGTTCCACAATTAATTCATGATATAACTCACATGGTATAATATATGGCAAATTCCTAGTTAAAATACTAACTTGTTAGTGCTAATTTACTTCCAAATGTGAGTAATTGTTCTTCATAATATGGGTGGGCCTCACCTAATCAGTAGAAGTACAGAGGAAAAAAGACAGTAGACCTCAGATGAAGTAGATTATCCTTCATCATGTGATGGGCCTCATCTAGTCAGCTGAAAGTCACAAGAAAAAAGACAATAGCCTTCAAATGAAGCACATTATCCTCCATAATGTGGTTAGGTCTCATCTAATCAGTTGAAGGCCACAAGAAAAAAGACTGAAGCCCCCCAAAATAGAAGGGATTCTGCCTCCTGATTGCCTTTTTACTCAAGAATGTAATATTTACTCTTTCTTGGGTATCCAGCATGCTGATCTGCCCTACAGATTATTTTGGATTTGCCAATTCCCATGCCTGTGTGAATCATGGGAAAATAAATAAATAAATCTTTCTTTTTCTTTGTGTATATGTGTATATATATATATATATATATCTTATTCTGTTTCTCTGAGATATCTGTCTAATAAATTGGTATAGGATGTGATTAACATTTTAAATATGATTGTCATAAAAATAATATAAAATATATATCTGACAATTTTTTTTTATTTTATAACAGTTATATCTGACAATTTTTAAATGCAATGAATTTTAAATTTGTGCACTTTAGCTTACATTTCTTCCTGAACTTTGGTATGACAATAACAGCCTCATTCCCCTGTCCTAGAAATGACTCTGATTCTCCCTAATTTCTACGGCTTAGTCTTAGGGCTCTTTGCCTTCTGAATGTAGTGCAGTGAAGTTTGTGGGGTGAGGGGACAGATTTATTTTCAGCACTATCCCCCAGTTCACCTGTCTTCATACCCTGAGTTCACTCTTCCCATGTGTCAGACTTTGGAAGCAGAGAAGGAAGGAGTAGAAAAGTTCTACCTGTGTGGCTCCTGCTCTGTGCTGACTGTGTGACCCCCAGCTGAGTTACTTTACCTCTCTGAGTCTTAGTTTTGTTCATCTGTAAGTTACAAGTTTTAGGTGCCAGTTCCTTAAGGTCTCATATGACATGAGTCCAGAGGTTCCCTGCATGCTTCTGGAAGTGTGTGGATACCCACTTCTGCAGCTCGCTTGGAATTCCCAGCTGCATCAACACCCTCTCCTAGTCCAGCTACACCGTTCACACCGCCACATCCCTCCCCCTGTCCCTCTTCCTCCCCATACCCTCTCTGCTTTCCCACTCACCAGCCGGGGTCTCCTGTGGGACAGCAGGGCCCAGAAGGAAGAGGAGGGGCAACAGGACAGATACCATTGAGCCTCTAGTGCCTGGCTGGAAGTTTCTGGACCTCCTCAGCTCCTGGAACTCAGGGAGACTGCTTGGAGACAGAGCCAGGTATAGTTATGAGAATGGCTGGGCTTTGCGCCCAGCTCAGGGGAGGAGAAACCAAAGGCCAATGAGAGTGGAGCCCAGGCTCCTCCCCGACAATAAGAGGAAAGGATGCCCAGCCAGGCTGGGCCGAGGTTGTGCTTAGGGTCTGCAGATGGTGTGTGAATCTCGAGCTGAGACATCAGCTCTGCAGACTGGCACTTGTGTATCCCCTAGAGTGAAGAATGCCCATGGGCAGAGGGTGGTGTGGTGAATGGCAGATGCCTGGGACATGTCACTTTCCAATCTATCAGACCATCCCCACCTTAGGGTGAGTAGGGGAGTCTGGATGTTGCCAGATCACGCCTCACCCCTGTGCCCTGGAAAAGCTCTCAACATGTCCAGAGCCTGGCCTTGGCAGACACCAGCTAGGGTGTAACCCTCACGACACCACCTGCACCCCATGAGAGTTCTGTCTGCGGGATATCCCTGCCTCCTTCCTTTTCTGTCCTCAGGGAGTCCTGGTCTTTCCCTCCCAGAAGAAACCGTCAGAGTCCCTTTTTTGTGGCCTCCTTTGCAGCAGCATGGGAATGCGTGGCTCTGGCCCTGCCCGGGACACTGAGTCAGGCATCAGTGAAGCGAAGCAGCACTCTGGACTCTGGTTTTGGCAGGGGCTGCCAGTGACAGCAACAGGGGGCAGCAGGCAGCAGTTGTGGAGGTGTCTGGCCTGCACTGAGGGGTCACTGGCACCCTCTGCGGCCTCCTCAGCCACCGGCAGCAGCATGTTTATCAGAATTAGTCCGGGTGTGACTGCGGTGCTGTGCCTGCCTGATTCCAACCCCGTCCTGCTAGGCTCTCCGTGGCTCCCAGAGCTGACCAGGACCTACATTTCTTCCCTGCTTGATGTCAGAAAAGGATTCTGTTTCAGTATCCAGTGATTCTGACTGATACTGAGATTGGGACAAGGATTGTTGCCAGGTAACCGTTGCTAAAGGAAACGGAGGGGAAGCTAGTGTGATTACACAGCCAGAGCGGGGTTGAAGGGCGAGAACATACAAATATCTTGGGGAGGTTCTTGCTGGTTGTGATATGCAGTGGGGTAAAAGAGCTTCAAGAGTTATCTAGTGTGGTTAACAAAAAATAAATGCTCTCAGAATCCTCATGTTAGGCCCAAGGCTGATCCCTAGGACAGTGTGAAGGACTCGGGAGCGGGAGGTCAAATCCCCGGAGGTTGAGTGCAAACGTGCTGGAGACAATGTGCCTATCTGGCGTCCTCTGTATCCTCTTTTATGAGGTAAAACTTATCTTGAAAGAAACACCCATGCATTTTTAATTTTAAAAATGAAAATTATCTTGAGAATAACTGGTAAAGAAGGAGGTGGCACAGAAGACTGAGAAGTGCTGACCTGGGGGGGTGAGGGAGGCAGGGAACATGGCCGTGAGGGGAGACAACAGTGGCCTGTGTCTTGTTCTCCAGTCTGATCCCCAACCTCCTATCGAACTGATCACTGGGCTAAGCACTAGAGACAGGAGTGCATCAGTGGACATACCCCTGTCCTCCTGGACACTGCTCCTGCCTGCCACCAGAAGTTCTGTCCTTGGGCCATGTCCCGCTCACATGCAACAGCGCTCAGGATTTTCCTGGGGCCATTCCAGACCAGATCCTTCTCGGGCAGTGCTTGGCAGTCACCATTGGCACCCACCACACAGAACTGGCAGGAATCATCTTGGCTATTAGCTTTACGAGGTTTTGTAATTAGGTTACAAAAACCTAAATTTTTGTTATTAGGCTTAATTATTAGATAGTATTAGATTTTTTTTGTCCATTTCATTCTTACAACTGCAAAAGACCACTGATCCTTTCTGTAAACTCAGAAATGGCCTGATGTTCAGACTGTACTTTCAGACAATGGTTTGGGCTTTTGATTGTGACCTGAGGTCTGGGAGTGAGGGTGCAGGTGTCATGGGGAAGAAGAAAAGCAAAAGTGTGTGGTGAGGAGTGGTGGTGTATGCACAAATGCTTGTGTGTTTATTACTTTATTGGCCTCTGATATTTTCCTTCCTGCTAACTCCCCCTGTTCATGTCTGCTGGGTTCTTCCCCCTGAGCTGGGAAAACAGCCCACCCCTAACCTTCCATCTGCAACCTTCAGTCCACCAGCCTCCTGGCAATAGTCTGTGATGTCTTTCAAGGTAACCATGAAGATGTCCTCCCTGGTGTCCTAAATGTGACTCTCCTCCATCTCTACTCCTGCCCCTCACCCAGCCTGGCTCTTATTGCTTTCATAAGTATAGAGAAACTAGGCCTGACCTTTGGGGGTGGATGGTGGCCTAAAACCTGGAAAAACTGGTGTAAAGAAGTAAGGATGCGCAAAAGTGAAGTTGAGTCCACAGAGGATCAAGAAGAGCAGTCATTGCGACTGACAGCAGCCTCCCAGCACCGTGGGCTTGCACAGGAAAGGACTTGCCATGACGGAGAATGCAGGGTGAATTTTCTAGAAATTTAGGCAATAAACCAGATAGCATCAGCATGAGATAAAACTGTGATGCTGGGGCCCTCCCTGGTGGCGTAGTGGATTAAAGCACAGCACTAAGAAGCTTAAGCCACTTCCACATGAGTTCGATCCCCACCTGCCCCGGAGGTGACCCACATGGCATGGAAGACCTCTCCTGACCTGCCTGCTGCTCCCCTCAGCAGTGTTCTTAGTCTATCTGCCTGTTCTGCTCCCTGCTCTGTGTATGGTGACTCCTCTCACCATCCCTGCACCTCTGGCCTGTACCCCAGTTCTGTATCCATAAATAAAAATAAAATCTTTAAAAAACAAAACAAACAAACAAAAAACACTGTGATGCTATTTCTGTAACACCAGTTCCTTGTGCTAAACTGGTCACTAGGTAGAATCTTTGCCATCCTGCTGAGAAATGGCACTTGCTGAGTATTTGTAAATGCTACAGATTTGAAATCTGCACAATCTTTCAGAGAGTATTAGCTTGTTTGTTTTTTTTTTATGTTCCCTCCAGAGTTGCACACAGTGATGGGCTTGGGGCTAGTTTGGCTCCCTCCTTCCAGGTCCTGTAGTACCCTGGGCCCAGTGCTGTTGTATCAGTTCTGCAGGGAGGTGTCTTCCTCCTGTCCTGGCACTTTCCTTATGTTGACTCATTCTTCATCCTGTTCCTAGGGGTCTCTACCCCAAACCAGAATAGATGCATCCAGACAGAGAACGGTGAGAGGCTGGGCACCCTGCTGCTCCAGGTCTTGGCACAGATCACCAACATATGGCTGTGGGAGGAGACTGGTCTCATTGGTGGGAAGAGGAGAGACAAAGAGGGCACTGTCTGGCAAAATAAAGCAGTGGGACGAGAGTTCTCTTTACCCTTGGGGGCTTCTTTCCTGGCACCAACCCTCAGAAAGTTATTGTGAAAGAGAAGTTTGTCTTGGTGTTTAGGGTCCTCTCAGAAGCCCAGAAATAGTTAGACATAACCACCTCCCCTGCCCCCACCTCCAGCGTCAACCTTAGCCTCCACCCCCAATACCCACATTGATGGCGGGGGTGCTTTGGACCTTTATAAATGGAGCCATTGAGGAATCAGGAGAAATTCATGCGCATTGAAATTCATAGGCACATTGAAAAATGTGCCTATTCCTTGAGTGTCTCCCCACTTTTCAGCCCCCACTTTAGTTGTTTAGATGAGGAATTTGGTCACTATGACTTGACCATCAGCACAGTTCCGAATGGTGGGGTCACATCTGTCAGCTTCTAGGGAGCAGCCGTGAACAAAGATGCTGAAGGCACGTACTCAGTGGTTCCAGCCCAAGAACGGTTAGCAGAAGAGACAGAGCCCAGGAGCTTCTCAGTTCCCACCCCGCCTCTTCCTCTCACTGCTGAAATTGATCTTTGCCAGTGATTGAACTGTCCAAACCTGGTTTTATCACCTGCGATAGCAATTCTGTTATCAGGTGCACAGACTTTAAGGATCTGATGAATTTCCTAAAATAATGAAATGACCTCTTTATCTCTAGCCAATTTTGCCCTCCGGTGTCTAATGTGATGTCAACACAGATGCTTCATACAGTATTTGATTTCTCCCCTCAGGTGCAGCGCCCTAGTTCTCTTGCCACCAGGGACCCATCGCCATTGCTCCTTGTGTCTTCCCACCCTGTTTTTACCTCTCCCCCTCCCCTCCCCTGCTGGAAACCTCAGATCTATGGTCAACTTGCAAGTTTTGTCTTTTCCCTACTGTACAAACATTATAATGATGTAAAATAATCAACTAAGAATAAACAGATACTTTGGCTTTATTTGATTAGTGTTAACATAGTATATTTTTGCATCCCTTTACTTATAAGTTATTTGTGTTTCTATATTTACTTTTTGCCTTTTTCTTTAATTGCTAATTAATATTCTATAGCACGGATGTGAATTTCTTTTCCATCACCATTCCTTATAGCCCTTTGACCCTTTATCTTTCCCCACCTCCCTCTTAATATCAGAAACCTCACTTCATTTATCAGTGTCCACTAATTTTTATAGATATTTTCCTTTGTCTAATTGTCTACTGTGTAAATGTCCAATACTTGTCTTTATTGTTCTGACGTGCTTTGCTACACACAATTCCCTCAAACTCCTTCCATGTTGCTGTAAATGGCAACACTTGTCTTTTCTTATGGCTGGGTAGTAGTGCACTGTGTGGATAAACCATAATTTCTTGATCCAACTCTTTGTGAATGCGTATTTAAGTTGTTTCCATGGCATGTACTATAAACAATGTCCTCGATCTTATCACAGTTATGTAACACCATTTCACATGAAGTAAAATAATCTTACTCCTACTTACCCCCTCCTGGCCTTTATGTAACTTGGGGTCACAACACATTCCATGGTGTCCCCACTACAAGGGAGGTCTTCCTTCCTGAAGTCATTATACCAAGTTTGGGAGACGTGACTGCTTCTTGAAATTTGCAGGCACCTATCATAAAAAAAAAATTAAGAAAAATGACACCACCACAGGTACACAGTAAACTAATAACTGCTCTCAAAGAAATGGAGATATATGACTTGCTTACAAAGGCAAAATAATTATATTCTCCAAGAGCTACTACTGAATTCTGATGAAGAATTAAACAAAATGAGGAAAGCAATGTAAGCACAAAACAAGAGGTCTAACATAGAGACAGAAAACATAAAAAAGAGTCAAATAGAAGTTCTGGAAGTGAAGTGCACAATGACTAAGTGGAGAATTCAATAGAGAGCATCAGTAGCAGACTGGACTAGAGAAGAAGAAAAAAAAATTCAGTGAAGCTGAAATAACAGCATTTGAAATAATCAGTTAAAGAAGGAAAAATATTAAAATGTAAAGGAATGAAGAAACTTTTGCATCTTACTGGACAATAGTAAGAGAAACAACCTAAGTATGTACTTCTGGAGTCCCAGAAAGAGAAGAAAGGAAAAGGGGGCAGAAAGCTTACTTATTTTATCAATTTTTCATTTCTTAAAATTTTTAAATGTAGTACTTTTTTCTTACATTGTTGCTAATTTTTGGACAAGAAAGCTTATTTAAAGAAATAATTGCTGAGAATTTCTTAAGCTTACAAAGAGATTTGGACATGCAAGTTCTTAGAGCTAAAAGGTAACCCCAAGATGACAACCCAAAGTGATCTTCTCCAAGATACACTACAATAAAACTATAAAATCAAAGACAAAGAGAAAGTTAAAAGCAGCAAGAGACAATAAAGTCCTTGCTTACAGAGGAACCCCATAAAATCATCAGTGAATTTTTCAGCAGAAACTCTGCAGGACAGAAGAGAGGGGATGATATATTCAAAGCAGTGAAATAAAACCCGCCGACTAATTCTACCCAACAAAGTTGTTGCTCAGAAATAAAGGCAAGATAAAGACTTTCCTAAATAAACAGAACTTGAGGGAGATCATCATCTCTCGACCTTCCTTAGAAAAATGCTGAAAGAAGTTTAAGCTGAAACAAAAAGTTCTAATTTCAAACATAAAAATACACGAAAAGCTCCATCACGGTAAGGTAAGTATACAGCAGACTCAGAATGCTTGACGCTGTGCTACGGTGGGTTGACCAATTGGCTCCTGTGTAAGGCATCCAGCAAAAGCAAACCTCAGGTAAGGAAGTTTTGACCTCTTACTATCAAAGGGGATCCTGGTAGAGAGGGGCTGGGCTGCCTGCATTGCTGAGGGGACTCTGAACAGAGTTCCATGGTGCTGTGAAACGCCTGTGCCTGTTTCTCCCAGCCTACGGGAGAGACATCCTGAGAGCACAGCAAGTTCTGGGAAGGCTGCTGCTTGCAGACATGTAGCAAACACACCTACACAGCACCCACGCCCAAGCAGCCTCTGCTTCTCCTGCCTCCTTCCTCCCCCATCTTCATAGGGAAACTCATGCTTTGACCAGGAGACTAGAGGACTTCACAGAGACTGAAATGATGGAAAACGATGGAAATTCTGTGTGGTCGTGAGCCCTGCCGACCCTCCCCGCTCCACACTGGAAATACTCCAAAGCTATTGCAACCCTTTCGGATGATCTGAAATTCCTGTTTCGGCTCACTTGGTAGCCAGACCCCCACCCTCAGTAACAGAGGGTTATTCTTCAGAGCTCATTGTCTCGCTGCAGGGCTGCCTGCTACGCCAGCTGCAATTCTCTGACTCTTCACTAAGGCTGCCAGGAATGAACGGGAGGGGGAAGAAGTGGGTGGTAGCAGGAGGCAGGGCCCCCAGGGGGAGCTGGGACCCTGCAGCTCCAGTCTAAGGACGACTTTCTGCCTCTACCTCCTGTTGCTGTGCATCTGTCCAGAGTTGCCAGGTAAGTGCTAGGGGCAGAGAGCTGCCGGCTCAGCTGGCACAGGCAGGGGGAAGGGGTGGTGGGGCTGCTGCCGTTCTCCACTGCTCTTCTCCCACTCCAATGCAGACCCCAAATAACCTGGGATATAATGAAAGTTCACAGATGATTTGTTCAGTCTACAATGCAGCCTGAAGTTCTGCATTCCTGCTGATGCTAGGGCCGCTCCTGCAGGGACCACACTTAGACTAGATGAATCTGGAATGTATTCTAGGCCAGGCAGGGTGAGATGGGAACATTGTGGGTCCAGCACTGTGTTGAATAATGGACATGCCTCCCTCACGCCTTAACTATGTGAGATGGATTCTGGCACCAATGGAATCCTGAAATTGATCTCTAAAACAACAAGAGATGAAATAATATTCTTAACCAAAATCAGGGTGGAACTGAACATCTATTTACATGTTTGAAAATCCCGTTAAATGCTGGCCTTTCCTCCCTCTACCAGTTCTTATACGCGTAAATACTGCTTCACACCTAAAGTCTGGACAGGGTTCCTGATAACTTCCCCACAAATAAATTAACTTGCAAAGAATTTCTCCACAGCTAGAAACAGAGTTATGCCCTCTGGATCAGCTTCAAGATCAGTGCTGAGACCTCAGCTCCCTGCGTCCTGATGTTCTGGCCTGGGACTCTGGCCTGTGGGGTAAAGGTGCAGACCCATTTGTGGGAGAAAGATTGGGGCTTCAGCGAAGGAGAGATGTGGGTTGGGGAATACTGGAGAGATGGGGGCACCACAGAATCCCAGGAAACCTGGAGTGGGAAAGGGAGGACTGAGCTCAGGTAGGAAACCCCCTTTGGTCTGTGGATGCTGGGAAATGCAGCATGGTACTGATGGTGTCCTCTGTGAGCCCCCAGAATGTGTGTCCAGTAAGTTTCATTGTGGTGACAACGGTGAGGAGTGGGGGAGGGCAAGAGACATGGAAAAGTGCTTAGAATTAGATGTGGGGATCCCAAAGCCAGGGCCCCTCAGGCAAGGCCCTCCACCCTGCTTTTTTGGCTCTATCCTTTCCTGACCCCAAAGCTCTGTGGTGAGCTTTGGAGAACTGGGACCAGTCTGAGAGCCTCTTGGAGAACATTTGGGGGTCTGGTGCAGGCAAGAGATGGGCACGGAGACTCACTCCTTACACTAGGAATATGCCAAGCCTGTTTTGTATTCATTCTAGGTCTGCTAGGAATGTGCTATTTAGAGGGTGCTGGGCCTGCGTTTTGAAATGAGATGAGGCTGAGAGGAAGGCTCAAGAATTTATCAAATTGGATTCAGTCTGGTAACTGAATCTGGCTCTCCAGAAGAGCCAGGGCAGACACTCCCAGGCCTGGCCACCTCCCCTCAGTGCAATGGCCCCAAAGACTTGAGCGGTGGGACAGGACTCCAGGCCTCCTCACAGAAGGAGCAGGCTGAGGAGGAAGTGCCACCAGCCTGGAGATGCCCCACCAAATGGAAGGCTAGAAAAACCCTTTGAGGCCCTCCCTGCTGGCGCAGCGGGTTAAAGCGCTGCACTGAGAAGCTTAAGCCGCTTCCGCATGAGTTCAATCCCTGCCCGCCCCGGAGGTGACCACATGGCACGGCAGACCTCTCCTGACCCGCCCGCTGCTCCCCTCAGCAGTGTACTTCGTTGATCTGCCTGTTCTGCTCCCCACTCTGTCTCTGGTGAATCCTCTCGCCCTTCGCATCTCTGGCCTGTACCCCAGTTCTGTATGAATAAATAAATAAATCTTTTAAAAAATAATCTTAAAGAAAAACCCTTTGAGATGACATCTTGCTGGTAACTGAAGCCAGGGGAGGAGCGGTGGGGGTACGTGGCCTCCTCAAGCAGTGGAACACTTAGCACTCCCTAGGCATGTGTGGGTGAGAGGGAGATGCTGCTGGCAGCTCGTGACCGAGAGACGCCAGTGCTGTTAACCATCTTACAATGCATGGACAGCTCCCCCAGCAACCTTACCAGACATTACCACACATCTGCAGAGCCAAGGTTGGGCAACAAAGCAAGGTTACAACAGCCGGGGCAGCCTTGGGAGCTGACCTTCCTTTCCGTCCTCCTGTGGAAGCTGATCCCTCTCCAAACAAACCTTAGTTAAACAGTTATTGAGAAACTGCTTTCTTTTCCGGGCATTTCAGTCAGTGCTTTCTCATCCAGTAAATCAGCTGGTTGTTTTGCTTTATCATTGTCTTGGTTTTCAAGTAAGGAAACAGCCGTTGTCCCTTTATCTAGTTACCATTTATTATTTTCAGTTATTCATCTCCTTGCTCTGAATTGGGGAAGAATCACTCAAGCGCTCTAGCAATTTCCAACTTGACTTCCCTCAGAATCTGTCCCATGGCCTTCACAATGATCTCAGAAGCGATGACCTTCCGCCCACGCTACCTGCAGTGAGGCCAGGCATTGAAAGATCCATTTGTTCTCATATTTGAGGAGTTGAGGGAATGAAAGGGAATACGTCTTTATCGCCAATGAATCAGGTTACCATGAGACTGATTTTGCACCTTTCTGGAGACTAAAATTAGATTTCTTCTAAAGATTTTACTGTTTTATAGGAAAGAATTTCACAAATGATATGCCTCACAGTCTATAGTGGAGTAGAAAACCAGGGCCCGATGGACTGAGGTGTGACTCCTGGTGGCTCCAGATAGCTTCTCACAGACGCATTTCCAGACACCTTTACAACAGTCCCATAGAAGAGTCTCAATCTCTCCCTTCTGAATGCACAGAAATGACCATTCTGCATAGGTTTTAGCATATGGCCTGTTTTCTTCTGTAGGTTATGACTCTAACAGTCATTTCCCATTGTTTGTGCACCTTTCTGAGTATTATAATTGGGAAGCTTCTACAAGGCCATCAGGCATTAGTTGCCAAGTGAACTCTGAAATTCAGATTATGATGATTAGCTTATTGTTAAAGGGGAGGTGTTTTCTCACGTTCACAGAGAGACACAGGGTGGGCTCAACTACAGGAGAGAGAACTGAAGGATGGTGCTGGAAGAGGCAGGAGAGACCTGAGGACACAGCGGGGGGCGGGGGGAGGGCAGCTGGGGCCCGGGAAGGGCCACTTCTTTCTCGGAGATGTTACAGAAGGAAATAACAGGGAAGACAGCTGTGGGTTTCATATCAGAGTCTGTCTTCTCTGTGGAATAAGGGGTTTGCATAGGCCTCTGAGCACAAGGGGGACCAGGTGTGTAAGAATTTGGGTTGAAGATGATGGTTACAAAGAGCTGCTGGGCCCAAGGAAGACTGCTGATGAGACCAAGACAAAGGTGTCACAGCTGGGCTCGGAGCCTGCGGTGCTTCCTCCAGGGACCTGGGGAGGTCCTGAAAGCTGCCGCTGACCTAGACCCCTGCTACCATGTGAGAGACATAAGCCCAAACAACAGCAAAGCAGAGATGAATTTCAAAGCTTTATCTGATCAGCTTTGGCTTTGACTCTCAAACCCATCATGTTTACCTAGTGGATTCTGCTGGGCTTCCTTAAAATATTATGCTGGGCCCTCCCTGGTGACGCAACATGTGAGGACACAGCACTGCGAGCTGGCCACAGCCACTTCAGTGCGAGCTCGATCCCCAGTTCTGGAGGTGATCCGCATGGCAGGGCAGACCTCTCCTGACCTGCCTGCCGCTCCCCTCAGCAGTGTATTTTGTCCATCTGCCAGTTCTACTCCCTGCTCTGCCTCTGGTGAATCCTCTCACTGCCCCTGCACCTCTGGCTTGTACCCCATTTCTGTTGCATAAATAAAAAAATCTTTTAAAAAATATTATGCTTCTTCTAAGCCGGTTGGTTCTAAAGAACATAAGACCAAAGCAAGCCCCACACCCACTCTGCTTACCGGATTCCCCTCAAAGCTCAGAGTCTCCACCTCATCACCACGAGGGGAGTGCGGCCAGTCCTGCACCCTGAAGGCTCCCAGCCAGAGAAATGGGGACAGTGAAAGAACACACCTCCACCTGCTTTCCTTCAGGTGATGCCGGCATGGTCCCAGACCTGGCAGCCTGCACCTGGGCAAGCACCTGTTTTCAGAGGCCACTGCTCTCTGACTATTCAAATTTGGGGAAAGAGGAGGGCAGAGAGACAGGGGGCACAGAGACAGTCACTCCTGCTGCCACTCACCCCTGCCACCACTCACCGTTAGACAGAGAGGATGCCACTGACTGCGAAGAGCTGTCGGAAGCCTCGGGTTTGAACAACCAGCTCCCTGGAGAGGAGCTGCCTGGCCTGTCCTGGAAGCAGGAGTGGAGGGGGGTGAACACACCTACACCCACCATTGTTCTTTGCTCCCAACAGGATGTGTGGCAGGTTCCTGCTTCGGCTGGTGGCTGAGGAGGGTCGGTACGCCACCCCTGTGGGGCGCCTCCTGCTTCCCGTGCTGCTGAGCTTCCGCCTGACGCTGCTGGCCGCCAGCGGGACAGGGGTCTATGGTGATGAGCAGAGTGAATTCGTGTGTCACACGCAACAGCCAGGATGCAAGGCGGCTTGCTACGACGCCTTCCACCCTCTCTCCCCACTGCGCTTCTGGGCCTTCCAGGTCCTTTTGGTGGCTGTGCCCAGCGCCCTCTACGTGGGCTTCACCCTGTACCATGTGATCTGGTGTTGGGAAGAACCGGAGAAGGCCAAGAAGGGGGAGACCCAGGTCCTGGCCAGGGAGAGCAGCAGGGAGCCCTCAGAGGCTGGACGCCCCAGGCTGCTCTGGGCCTATATGGCCCAGCTGGGCGTGCGACTGATCCTAGAGGGCGTAGCTCTGGGGGGGCAGTACCATCTCTTCGGGTTCAAGGTGCCCAGCTCCGTTGCGTGCCGCCGAGAGCCTTGCCTGGGCAGCATAACCTGCAATCTGTCCCGCCCTACCGAGAAGAGCATCTTCCTGAAGACCATGTTCGCGGTCAGTGGACTCTGTCTCTCTTTTACTGTTCTGGAGCTGGTGCTTCTGGGCCTGGGGAGATGGTGGAGGAACTGGAAGCACAAACTTTCCTTTTCTAAGTACTTCCCAACCTCAGGGCGTACCAGAAGACCCAAGGAAGCAAGGGGTAGCCTCCCAGTGGTGGAGCAGCTCCCAGAAGCAGGTGAGAAGGGGGCCGGTGCCCCTCTTTCTTCCCACCCCTGATGCCTCTGTGCTGCGGGCCTCCCACGGCAGCCGTCGCCCTCGAGAAGCACCGCCCACAGAGCAGACACCGGGACGGGCAGACGGTTCTGACCGCTGCTTCCAAGCCTTCTCCCTCTGTTCCTTCCAGTGACCCCGGACCAGAGCCCTCACTCGATGCACCTCCTTCCCTTGCAGTAGCACTCTGCCCGTTTAGAAAGTCTCAGTTTCTGGTTGGTGCTCTACTTTGCAGAGTTGTGAAGAAGACACCTGTCTCAACACGGAAGGAAACACTATGATTGGCCCAGTGAGTAGGGGTCTATCTCCAGGACGCATTCGTGGCTGTTGAACCATCTGGAAGAGCTATGCTGTCCAAAACCTCTCCTCGGAGAACTCCTGCTCGAGCTGCTGTCCAGAATTCCCCGGTGTTGGTGTCTGTTTTCAAGGGCTCCTTCCAGCATACCCAGTCAGCTCTCAGAAGCATCCCCATGGCCGAGTCTTTCCCTGTCCCGCACACTAAGCTTTGACTGTGGTTGGCAATCCTGTTGCTGAAGACAATCCTCCTTCCTGTCCTCATTTTGGTTCTTCTGTGCCTGCAAATTCTCAACAAAGAGCAATTACCTAGTTTTGTTTTCTTCTTCTCAATCCCAAAGTATCCCCCAAGTAAATTAGGATGGCTCACCCCTAAGGGAAGCTATTTTAGTTCTCTAAGGGGCACTTTCAACAACTAGGAAAATAATATTTTTTTTTCATTTTGCTATACAAACATTTCATAAAGAATCCCTTGTTTATTATAGTCAGAAGGACCAGGTCCAGTGCCCAGTGAAGTGACCAAGGGAAAAAAAAGTAGAATTTCGAATTCCTTCTTGATAGTGTCCACTTTCTAAAAACCTTATTGAGAAATAGCTCACATGCAATTTAAGTCACTCATTTCAAGTACAAAAGTCAGTAAAATTTAGTACATACAGAGAATTGTGCATCCATTCACACCGTTTTAGAACATTTTATCAACTCAAAAAAAAATCCTTAGTTACTACTCTCAAATTCCCATATCCTTACACATAAGCATCCACTATTCTATTTCCTGCTTGATAGCTATTCCTAGTCTGGGCTTTTCGTACAAATGGAGTCATACAGTGTGAGGTCTTGGGTGACTGGCTTGTTCACGTGCACCATCTTGAGGCTCACGTGTGTTGTATTAGTACTCCACTCTTTGATATGGCTGACTACTATTTCACCAGAGGGCGAGACACATTTTGTTTATCTGTTTCTCAGTTGATCATACTTGGGTTGATTCCACCCTGGGGCTAGTGTGAATAATGGTCTATGACATGACCATTCATACACTAATTTTTGTGTTCTTTTGGGTAAATACATAGGAGTAGAATGGCTGGAACATATGTTAACTAACTTTTTGAGAAGTTGTCAAACCATTTTTCACGGCAGTAAGGAACATATGGGTTTAATACTTGGCATTTTGAGGTTTTGTTTGTTTTGATTTTTTTTTAAAGATTTATTTATTTACACATACAGAACTGGGGTGCAGGCCAGAGACAGACTGGGGAGCAGAACAGGCCGACTGATGAAGTACACTGCTGAGGGGAGCAGCGGGAGGGTCAGGAGAGGTCTGCCGTGCCATGAGGGTCACCTCCAGGCAGGGATTGGAACTAGCACTGAAGCGGCGGCCTCCAGCTTGCAGTACTGCATCCTAACCCATTTCACCACCAGGGAGGGCCCTGTGGTATCATTCTTTTGTCTAGTATTTTTCCATGTTTTCAAGCTACATTATTAAAAGACGATTTTTTTTTTAAAGTTGAGATAACTGCTAAAATGGAGCTTCCATATGACCCAGCAACCCCACTCCTAGGTATCTACCCAAAAGACACAAAAACACTAATTCAAAAAAATACCTGCACCCCCATGTTTATTGCTGCTTTATTCACAATTGGAAAGACATGGAAACAGCCCAAATGCCCAAAAATGAATGACTGGATTAAAAAGATGTGGTACATATACACAATGGAATATTACTCAGCAACCAAAAATATATAAACACATGCCTTTTGCAGTAACATGGAAGGACCTGGAAAAGATCATGCTTAGTGAAGTAAGCCTGAAAGAAAAGAAAAAATACTGATGGTTTCACTCATAGCAGGAGTATAAAGGACCAGTTGATAAAATAATAGTAATAATGAACAGCTATATACCAGAGACATTTTACGGGGGTAGAGTGGGGAATGGGATAAAAAATGGTGGGGGGGGAGAGAAGTACACTGGACTATGATGATGGCACATGGGTGATTTGGTGATGGGAAGCCCGCGGGGATTACAACTGAGATGGAAAAAGGCACAAAATGATGTAAAAATAAACTATTATATTATTAAAAAACAAGTTGAGGTAACATTAGTTTATAGTGCTATACAGATTCCAAGATTACATGGTAATGCCCACCATCAAATGTTCATTCATCACCCACCACCAATCAAGCAGCCTTCCTGCGCCTCCCTCTTCTGGTAACCACATTGCTGTTGTCATAGTCCAAAGGTTTGTTTTTATATTCCTTCTATTGCTCAAATGAGTGGACTCATACATTATTTGCCTTTCTCCTTCTAACTTATTTCACTTAGTACAATCCCCTCAAGCTCTATTCAGGTTGTCTTAAATGGCAAGGTCTCATCTTTTTTATGATTGAATAGTATTTTAGTATGTGTGTGTGTAACACATCTTTATCCACCCTCTGTTTTTGGGTACTTGAACTGTTTTTACATCTTGACTATTGTGAATAGTGCTACAGTGAACATCAGGGTACAAATATATTTTTAGTTATTGTTTTCATGTACTTTAGGTAAATACCCAAAAGGTAGTTCTACTTCAAATTTTTTAAGGGATTTCTGTAGTGTTCCCCATAACGACTGCACCAATTTACATTCACACCAACAGTTGACAAGATGGTTTTCCCTTCTACATACACACCAGCATTGATTATTTCATGATTTTGATAATTGTCATTCTAACCATTGTGAGGTGCAATGTCATTGTGACTTTGATTTGCATTCCCAGTATAAACAGTGCAGAGCATCTTTTTATGTGTCAGTTTGCTATCTGTATCTCTGTGTGGTGAAATGTCTGTTTAGATCCTTTGCCATTTTTTGCTCAGGGTGTTTTTGTTGTTTGAGATGTACAAGTTTATAAATTTTGGATACTAACCCTCTGTCTGATATGTGATTTACAATATCTTCTCTCACTTAGTAGGCTGCCTTTTCACTTTAATGATGGTTTCTTTTGTCGTGAAGATCTTTAGTTAATTGTAGCCGTTTGTTTATATTCTCTTTTGTTTCTATGCTTATATGGTTTCAAGTTTTATGTTCCAGTCTTTCCTCCATTTTGAGTATAAGCTGATGATCTAGTCTCATTCTTTTACATGTGGCTGCTCAGTTTCCCCCAGAACCATTCACTGAAGAGACTTTCCTTTCTCCATTGTATGTTCTTGAATTCTTTGTCATAAATTAATTCTTCAAGTATGTGTGATTTTAATTCTGGATTCTCAGTTCTACTGCATTGGTCTGTATCCCTGTTTTTATTCCAGGACCACACTATCTTAAATACTGTAGCTTCATAGTATAGTTTGAAGTCAAGAAGCATGATGCCTCCATTATTTTTCTTTTTTCTGAGTGTTGTTTTTCCTGTTTGAGGTCTCTCATGGTTCCATATCATTTTAAGATATTTTGTTCTATATCTGTGAAGAACGCCACCAAAACATTTATAAGATTGTGCTGAATATGTATATTATTTAGGTAGAATAACTATTTTGACAATATTGATTCTTCTGATTCACTTGTACAAATGTCTTTCCATTTCTTCGTGTGTTCTTCAATTAATCGGTTTTGATGCTTGATATTGCCTCCCTGCCATCTCGTGGCAATTTCTGTTACTGCAGGAAAGGTGTTTTCTAAACTCAAAAGTTTCAGTTTATTCAAGAATTCTATAATATTTAGGTCCCAGAATACAAAAGGAGTTGGCTAGAATTTTGGATAACAGAATTAACCATACAAGATAATTCATGCTTACTGAAATTATTTCAAAAAGATTCTTGAGCAGTAGAGACTAGATCTTTCTGAACTGTCTGTTCAAAAGGGCTGGATAGTAAGGGGTTATAGAGGTCATATTTCTAAATTTAAAATCTGGTCAAATAGTGGTGAGCATACCTGCCTTTCAAAATTTAATCTGGCCATGAGCTCTAGGAGTTATTTCCATGGCTAATTGGTTCCTTGGAGAAGATTTTTCCATGTTATCTTCAAGCCACATACCTCAAACTGTATCATTCCCTGACCCCCAAAACAAATTCCAAGTAAAGCCCTTAGGGGGTCCTTATCTTAATAATGCAATTCTAATTGGCATCTTGAGTACTGGTTTCCAGAGAGGTTCAGGAAGAGTCCCTGGGTTGAATGTCATATATTCAGTATTCTAATTTGGCTCATGTGATGTCATAGGTCCTATAGGTTAAGAAATATTTTATTCTCAAAGTTGGTGCTTCTTTTACTCATGACTGACTCATATCTGGCCCAGTCTGTCCTCAATCTAATCCCTTTGACTCCTGGTAGGGAAATATTCAAGAAGTCAGGAAGAGGCTTATTCTGAAAACACCAATTCTATAGCCAAATTCTACTTTACTAAGTAGGGAAGGACATGCCAAACTAAGAAGATAACTCCTGGAGTCCAAAATAGCAGAAAATTTAGAAGAGACTTTCTTTGGACTATGGGCTTGTTGATGAGTATGGATTCATTGTTGTGTAAGATGGCAGTAAATATAGTGTCTTAATCAGGTAACACTAAAGGAAAGTCTTATTGTGAAAGCTATCGTTCTTATTTTGGGTTGGAGAGATGGCTTAGGTACATATAAATTTAGAGGGAAGGAAGCCCAGGCATAATTTAAAGTTCCAACTATCAGAAGTTATAAAAAAGTTCAGGTGCTTAATTTGTCCTGATCTGTAGTAAGAGTTCAAAATCTATGCACAGGTTACAAAATCATCACATTATGACATACATTGTTGTTCTGGGTCTGCTATGCCATAGGATAATTACTGTAATAAATGGAGGTGTAGGACAATTTCTTCTAAACCATGTCACCAGTAATTGGAGGTTTATAGGGTCAGAGAAGGAATTCTGATGAGTACCCCAAGAAAGCCTAGTTTGGATGATCAAAGCCAATGTGTGAGTCAGTGTGGACTTCCCCTGCCCTCTGCATTTCACTGTTGTTCGTGTCCTGCCCACAAGTCTCTGCAGAGAAAATTCCAGGTAAATTAATGGTGAGATGTGGGATGGGAGGTGGATTGTGCAAACAACCTTCATTAGAAACTTGGGCATCTTCTAGCATTTCATTTTCATCTTTATACCTTAATTCAGAGGGTGTCATTTGGTCAGTTTAAGAGGACCCTTCCACAAAACCTCAATAGATGCCAGAAGCCTACTTTGAAATAATACCATAAATGGATGCAGACTTAAAGTGGGCACCACATTTGAGACACTGGCCAAGAAGTGCAGGGTGCTGAGAACTTGCTGTGTTTTAGTCTTGCAAGGCTATTCACTATTTTATCAAGTCAGTTGTTTCAGGATAATGGAGAAT